ATTAAATCACAACACAGCTCTTTGTGAGCGCACAAAATCCTCAACATATTCCCTTTTTTAAAAAAATGTTTTGATTGGTGTCATGCTTTGAAATTAGCCGCACCAGATTAAATGACCTCTTTTTAGTTTCAAAGAGACATGCTGGTACTGTGCAAACTGTGCACATTAGGGTCAACTGCTTAGTGTTCTCCTCAGTCATGCTGGTTACTACGATTGGTGCAGAAGGACTAAACTACTGTGAATTAGACAATTAAACTGAGCAGTAACTTATTGGCAGTGGTGGTGTTTAAGTCTTTTATGATCAAATTGTAGGAATTAATGTATCAGCAGAATTCAGCTGGGTGGACGCAGTGACCTTGCTGCCAGCCCTGGACCCCCAAGATCTGACCATATTGTTGATGCTGTATAGTTATAAAGGCCTAATACTCACTGAGTACTTGGTTGAGACGTTGCTGGCAAAGACACCAGTACGAAGTTTCTTGTAATTGGTCACCAGGTTTACAGACATCCTAGGAGGGATTTTAACTGACTCCACTTTTTAGAATCTCTCTAAATCTTTCAGGTTTCTTGGCTGCTGCTTGGAAATTTGAAACTTCAGCTTCCTCCACAGATTTTCTATAGGACTGAGGTGTAGAGACAGGCTATGCCTGGCCGAGGTATGACTTTAGTGTGCTTCATCTTTAGCCTTTTGTGTGTTTTTGGTCATTGTCAAGACTGGTCCATGACCCATCTTAACTGTTCTGGCTGAGGGAAGAAGGTTCTCGTCTGAAAATCTATAGTACATGGTCCTGTTCAAAGGTCTCTCCCGCTGGTCTTCTCGTACTCTTAGCACAAAAATGGTTAGTGTTCCTCGGGTCATGCTTAGCATTTCTCTTCTTCTAAAAGTGGCGGGTCACGTTAAGGTCAGAAAGTTCGATTTTGGTTTTATCTGACTGCAGTGCTTTCTTCAATGCCTGATGATCATCCTCACCCATGAGGCCAGATCTTCCATGAAACTCCAAATTGAGTGATTTGATATTTTTTCAATTTTCAAAGAATTGCACCAGCAGCTGTCATCTTTTCACCACGTTTCTTGTAGCTCATTCCAGCCTTGTGCACATCAACAGTTTTCTTCCTGATGTCCTTTGACAGCCCTTGTCTTGCTCATAGTGGTGGATCGTTTGGAATGGAAGAAATTGATTCTGTGGACACGTGTGCTTTATTCACATAATGAGTTGAAACTAGGACTGTCTGTTATTGATACAAGGTCTTGAATAATCAGGCCTTATCTTATCTTAAAAACCTTATAGTACCGTATCACCCCTTTAGAGCACTTCTCTCATAGACTGAAGGCTTACGTGTTCCTAGAGTATTTAAAAGTAGAATGGGAGGCAGAGCCTTCAGCTTTCAGGC